AGCTGACCCTCCAGCCAGTTTTCAAAGACAGAAAATTGCACAGAGAATACTGCCCATCTGTCTTCCACTGAGCAGCTAGTAGATTTGAACCATGTTATGCATCAGAGAGTTGGACAATGACTAGGGAGGAAAGAAGAATTGACGCCTTTGAGCTGTAGTTGCTGGAGAAGAGTACTGAATGTACCATGGACTGCCAGGAAAACAAACAGATTCATCCTGGAGAGGGTTAAACCAGGCTGCTCCTTGGAGGCAAGGATTCTGAGGCTTCGTTTGACATACTTTGGACATGTTGTAAGGACAGACAGGTCTTTAGAGAGGGACATCATGCTTGGTAGGGTGGAGGGACAGTGCAGGAGGGGAAGACCCTCTATGAGGTGAATTGATTCAGTGACTGGGGTAATCGGGATGGGTGTATCAGAGGCATTGGCACAGGATAGAGCAGGGTTTAGGGCTGTTCTACATAGGGTCACTATGAGTCGAAAACGACTCGACGGCACATAACAACAACAACAACAACAACAACAACAACCTTTTTAGGGAGTTCTGGTAGCCTAGTGGTAAGAGGCCGCATTGCAATCCCAAAGGCACACAGTTCAAATCCACCAGCTATTCTCCTGTTAGATTATCTGCCTCTGAAAACCGCTGGAGGGTCAGATATGGGTCAGTTCTGACTCGATGGTACACAATAAGAAGCAGCCAAAAATACACTGTTAAAGGAAAGCTTTTTACTAAGGTGTCTTCATTTACTGACGAGAGAGTTGAAGTCTTAGGAGGGAAAATGAAATGACATGGTAGCAGGAAATGTCAGTGAAAGACTTTGCCAGCTCATCCCGGGTGGAAAATACTTCAGAAAAGTCTCAAATTGTAGAAAAGGCTTTTATTGGCAGAGCTATGTTGTGTTTATGTATGTGGAGAGGTGGGGAGCAGAGGGGTCCTAGGGAGCTGCTATGCACACATCCTAGGTCCTCCCAGAACTCTTCTGCTTTGGGTAGAGGTGAAAGCAGCATCTTCTGAATCAGCACAGGAGAGCCCCCACCTCCCTGCATTCTTGCCACAGTGAAGCTGTCTCTGTGCCCCGGTGGCATGCAGTGGGAGAGAGCTGAGCCTGGGCAGGACAGGTGAACTCAAGGAGCAGGAGCTGCAGGGGGCATTTAAAAAATAGAATTTTAACTCATAAAACAATATGCTTCACATTTCATGGCATAGAAATAATTTACTGTTTGCTAATATTACCTAGAAAGAAACCATACCTTACAGAAAATCCAAAAAAGAGAAAAAGAATGCATCTCCTTAATACACCTTATTTTTTTCTTTTGACCTTAATACACATTAGATTACCATTTTGATATATTTCCTTCCAGTTTTCGCCAATATTTTAAAAAACAATGCTCACAAAATGTATATAAAAGGAAAACACCTATGATTTGTAAATTCTTAGACACATTTTTAAAAACCAATTTTAATCAGTGTTTTATATTTTATAAAATGTGCTCATTAAGAAAGAACACTTAAAAATTAAAATAGTTACTGTCTAGATAACTATTTTTACATTATATTTTTCTACTTATTTTTAAAATGTGACCACCCAGAAGCATTAAAATTAATACTGCTTCAGACTCTCATGTTTTCCATTTGCTCATAAATCTCAGGCACCTTTATACATTATTGAATATTCTTCTGTTGTACCATTTCTAATTACTTCATAACATTCCTTTGTATTTAGTATAATTGATTTAATAATCCTCTATTATTATACATTTAGCATAGTCTCTTTAAAAAAATATTCTAAACATCCTTGCAACTACATCTTTATTAACATTATTGATTGTTTTCACAGGATAAGTTTCTAGAAGAATTATTGGACCAAATAGAATACATATTTTTAGATTATAAAACATACTGTCAAAATTCTCCCAGAAGATTTTGTTTCTTTACACCCTCACAAAAAAAAAAACTTTTCACATCTGTCCACACCTTAGCCAGCAGTATATATTATTACTGCTTTTCTCTTTGACATTTTTACGCTAGTATAATTATACAATTTTGCTATTCACCTGCTGGTAGATTGCATAGTTTCAGTAACTGTGAAGCATACTAGCAAGCAAATTAACATCCTTCACTCAATCATTTTTCTTGTGTTAAATATTTATGTTCTTTTTCACCAAAGCTTAATACTCTAAGATACCTCTTCACCCATGAAACTTTCCCAAAATTTCAATTTCTTGGAGTATGCAAAATGGAATTACATGAGTAAGGAGTATGACCAATTTTCTGATAATATATATAAAATACATATTTATATATTTAAATACATATACATATTGAGCTCTGGTGGCTTAGTGGTAAAGAATTGCAGTGCAAATGCAAAGTATAAGGTTCATATCTACCAGTTGCTCCGTGGGATACAACTGGGAAATCTCATCCATGCGATTAACTCTCTGAAAACCCGCTGGAGGGTCAGCTACGGGTCAGGTTCCTACTGGATGGTACACAATAACAACCTATACAGTGCCAAATTAATTTACAGATACAAGAGTTTGTAAACTTAACAGAAAAGTCTAAGAAAATAGAGCGCCAAATTAGTAGCACCCTCACCGGCACTACTTTTCTTATTTTTTTTATTTATAAACCATTTTATATTTTTCCCTGGGTCATGAGCAGGCATAATGAGGTACTTGATAGGTTGTTTTGTTTTGTGTCATTGATTGTGCATGAGACTGGCATTTCCCCGCGTTGGTTTACTAGCTGAATATTTCTCTAGGAGCCATTTTGACAAACACTGGAAATGTCACTTTGTTGTGTTTTTTTCTTTTTAATTGCATGTATTTATGTTTTTGTGCGTTGGGGCTGCCCCGCAGGTAAAGAGAGGAAGAGATGATGCTAATCTGGTAACAAGACACATAAAGGCCCATGTGACATCATTGGAGAAAAATTCCCAGCGCAATCAGTAACCCAGGAAGGTATTGGACACTTGGTGAATTAGCGTCTCAGGGGACTTTCCCCCCTTAGAGAAATACCAACGAGAAGAGTAGAAGAAAAAAAAAAAGTAGAAAATGCCCCAGAAGCCTGAGGAGAGCAAACGATCTCCCTTCCCACCTGTCCTGGACATCATTAGGCTCGGAGGAAGGAGCAAGTAGTCCGGTAAGCAAAGTAAGCGTGAGGCTTGCTTGTGTTCCCTTCACGGATGTCGTAAAACCGGTGTGGAATTGTTATCTGCAGATTAATGAGTAAACACAAATAAACCATAGCTTACTTTGCTTACAGGGTTTTCTATTCCCGTCCTGACCATCTTCCCCCGCCCCCCAAATCCCCGCACACTCATTACTGCAATCGGAACCCTCCATTGTGTTTCCAAGGCTGCAAATTGCAGGGGAGGTTGCTTGCCTTCCTCCAGCGGAGCTGCTTGCCGATGGGTCAAAGGGCCTGAGGGTTAACAGCACAACTCCCTACCAACCAAGTATGGACTACGCACCAGAGCTCGCTCCATCTTTCTTGCGGATTGTAAATTTGAAAGGAGAATTTGATTCTTTAAAAAAGTGCTGTCCCGTTGGGAAAATGAGGGATACCAGTCATACCTACAAATAGAATCTGATGGGGGGAGGGGGGATGTCACATTGTTCACTCCAGATTAGAAAATAAACACAAATATATCCGTGTGTACCTTGTTTATTTGGTAATCCGGCTCTGCTGGGAGAGGATGAAATTATCGATGGAGATGGCACAGAGATTGGCATCCCGGGGGAAGCCGATCCTGGGATGACCGGCTGGGCTTCCCCCGCTGCGGGCAGTCAGTCTCTGATCTGGGGAAGCGACTTGAGGAAGCTCCTTCGCCGATGTTAGAGGACCTCAGCCCAGTGTTGGGCTTTGTTTATTCCTACTTAGAGGGTTTTAAGTGTTTCTGTCTCTTGTAAATACAATAAGCTTCTCTAGCTCCTTGGCTGGTTGGCCTGGGGCTACCAGTGAGCACAGAACCGCCCCGCATGCACTCGGTGGGGAATTATTCAAAGGGCTCGCGGTGGAAGCTGGGGAGGCAAGCCAGAGCTGTGCAAACGAAGGCAGGCTGGACGGGGAGGCCGGGCCGTGGAGAGGCGCTGCGCCCAGACAGGCCAGACTGAGGGCACAGATCTCGGCTGAGGGTCGCTGCGGGCGAGAGCGCACGTCAAGGGCCTGCGCCCCGCCACCTCGGAGCACGACCCCAGCTGCTTCCCCGCCCAGCCCGTTACTGCTGCCAGCTGCGTGACTCGCGCGTTCTGTGCCGAGTACGGGTTGTCCCTGGCCCAGCCTCAGCCAGACGCGGGGGAGAGGGAGCAGGGGCTGGGAAGCGCCGACGAGAAGGGACTTGGCCAGAGGGAAGGAGGAGGAGGAAGGATGAAGGCATCCGGTTACTTAAGGCGCTCAGCCGGGCAGAGAGAAGCCGAAGACCCAGAGTGCGCAAGGAAAAGGACACTGTTCGGGCCCTGGTTTGCGGGAGGGTCTGCAGGGTCTGCCCTGCTCCGCCCCTTGGTCTGAATATGGGGGCGAGGAGGACACCAGCCATCCCCAGGGCCGGAATCCCTGGAAGAACGGCGAGAGCCCGAGGCGCAGCGGTCCCCGGCCACCTGCTGCCTCGGCCAGCTGCAGCATTTATACCTCGGGCAGCAGCCCGCAGGGCGGGGCGCGGGGGACCCCACCAGGCCCCGCCTCGCCCCGTGCGGCCCCGCCCTCCCGAGCCGGGGGTCTCGATACCAGCGACCAGACCCCCTACTCAGGCCCGGGTCCGCGGCACGCGGCGGGGCGGGGTATCGGCCGAAGGGCGGGCCTCCCTGCGGAAAGCGACGTCACGGCCGCTCCTGCAGTGTGAATGAATCAAAATGCCTGGGTGACCGCGGCCTCCGGGGCGGCCGGCACGCGAAGGGTGGCGGGGGAGGGGCTGGGGGCCAGGAGCGGGCGGGCGGGGGGGGGGGTAGGAGGAGGGGAAAAAGCCGGAGCTGCAGCAACAGCGTCTCCTCAACCCGGGATGAGCACCAGCCTGGGAGAGCGAGATCAAAGGGATTTGAAACAGACAGAGGGCTGGAGGGGGAGGGGGCCAGCCAGCCTGTGGAGTCCTCCCCGAGCGGTGCAGAGCCAGCTTCTCCCGGGACTTCTGAGGCCTCCTTGGGTTTGGGGGTTATTCTATCATTATTTTAAAATTTCTGAATCCAGCTGGAAGGAAAGAACGAGAGAACGAGACACCTCGGTAGACTGCGACTGGCTGGCTCTCGCTCCGCTATGATGCAGAGCGCGGCTGTCCCCGCGGAGGGGGCTGTCAAAGGGCTCCCGGAGATGCTCGGCGTGCCGATGCAACGTAAGACACCCTCCCCTTTCTTGCTGGTTTAATTTCATGACCTAGCAGCTAACAGCCGGGCTGGCGGGGCGCCGTGAGCAGTGGGGGGGTTGGCAGGGGTGAGGGGCCAAAGGCCGGCGGCCAAAGGCGCAGAGGTGCTCTCGGGGCAGGGCATCGGCCAGACTGCGTTTGAAGAGCTTGGCTCCTCGTCTTTGAGTCTCTGACTGTGGAAATCTTATCCGCCGCATGTTTGAAGTATGTCGAGGGGACCTAACCCTGTATCCCCAGCCCCTGGCTTTTCTGGAAGCACTAACGAGAGTGCTATTTGGGGACTCTAGGGCAGTGTGCAGTAGGCTAGACCCGAGGGCAGAAGTGGGCCTTCAAAAATCACTCTTCCCCGCGCAACATTCAAAGCTCTCACGCTGCTAGTGTAACTTTACCACTGCTGGCGGGAAGTTGGAGAGAGCGCCCGCCGCCCCCGGGCCTGCTGCGCTGTGGGTCTGGGTCACACGTTCTGGCCCAGAGATCCGCGCGCCGAGCGTGCGCGCCTTGTGCATCCTTGGCGGCTGCTACTTGCGGCGGCGCCCGCCAGCAGTGCTGCTGGGGAAAGACTGCTACAAGTGAGGGAATCTGCTCGCCACATTCCAGCTAGCCGGAGAATGCAGGGGAGGGAGAATCACCGGAACCAAGTCGCGAACTTAGGGTCCAGCCTTTGAGCACGCGAGGGCAGAGGTCCAGGGTGACTGGGATTTGGAAGGGGAGGCGCTCCGGTGCGTGTAGGTACTTTGTTCGATCTTCCACTTTCTCCACGCACCACCAAGGTCCAGCAGCCAGAGGTCCAGCATGTTTATGGCAAGGTCTCGGTGTGTACGTGTGGACTCTGGCTCAGAGCCTTTCATGAAGGGTATTTGGCTCTGTCCCTTACTCTTGAGTGGAGAGTTAGTGATAGATAATCTGTGTGGCCACCAAAGTAGGTCCTGGAGCACGGCGTGCGCGCGTGCGCGCGCCTGATGGGTGCCGCGTGAGTCCTGCCTGCAGGCTTGTCCTTTCTGCGGGTCTCCTGGGCGCGGTGGACACACCAGAATTTCTTCACCTCACTTGCTATTGGTCTGTGCTTTCTACCACGACTTCTCAGTGAGGTCCAAACTACATTCGCGGAGTTTATTTTAAGGAAAACGGGTTTACCCCACGAATGGTGCGTACTACGAGAACCAAGGCGCGCTCAAGCACGCCCTCCTGCGCCCTGTCTCTTCACCGCAGTTTCTACCCTTGTGATTCCTCAGAGTCGGCTGGCAAGCGCATGCCCCAGGTGTCTTTAGGAAGTTTTGAGGAGGATCTAGGAGAGTACCGCTTCGCTCAAGCCAGTTCTGGCTGTTCTTAACGATATCCTACAGTGGTCCTTTGTCTTTATTTGTATCAATGCCTGGCAAACCGTTCCCCGTTTGTGCTGTGCCGTGGGGAGTTTTCTGATGACTAACGTGGCGTTAGGGATTGCTGCCCCCAGTCCACCACAGGCTCCAGCACAAACAGAAGCACACTCCCTGGCCAAGGCACTCTGGATCTTTAATCTGATTGTCGCTCGGCTTGAGTGAGGAAAGTGTGTATGTGTGCGCAATTTGCGCCCTCGTTAAATTTCTGATAGCTGCAGTCGGTAGGCAGCCTGCCTGTCTGGATACCAAGAAGAAAGGTGGTGGATTTACCTCTGACAACCTTTCTTGGGATGCTCATTACTCTTTCCCCACCCCTCAAATTTTCTGTCTCTTACTCAGAGGCAACTTGAATGTCTTACCTCCAGAGCTAACAATTGCCATGACCCCGAGTCTGGGTTCAAACTATGAAAAAATTAACATGTCAGAGGAAAGGACTTCACCCAGGGTAGGCTTTGGTGGCATGGAAGTTCCAAGCTAGGAAGGGGTGTTGTGGCCTGGCCTTCCCTTTGTCTGATCATAACACAGTGACAGATTTCTAGTTGAAGAATTCACTTGCCAACTAGCTTTTTTTTTTTTCTTTAAGGAAAAAAAAAAGCATGTGTGGACCTCCTTGAAACAAAACTCACCACTAGATAAACAAGCATTTGGATCTAAGAGCTGATGATGAATAGGCAGTGGTCCTCTCCATACAAAAAGTAATTCCTTTTCCGAATTTCAGGGAAAGGAATGTTGGAGGAGAAACATTTAGACCTCAGAGAACAAGAAAGAGACTCTCTAGGCACTGAGTTCTCAAACCCTGTGGTAAAAGGAGACAACAGAATGCTCCCCAACTCAGTGCCTCCAGATAACCGGGAAGCTTGAGTTACTCCCTTGCACATAGACACAACCTCCCCCCTTTACTTCTTCACCCAGAGCAACGCAAATGAAACAATTAAGGCACTCAGGTCTAGAGATTCCCCTGAACTTGATTTTTCTGATGCTCTTGCTTCTAGGGACATTTTAGAAAAAGAGATTAAGCTGATTTTACAGCAGTTATATTTTTTTTCTTATTTAGGGGTGCATGAGGCATATTCTTTTCATGAAGACATTTCCAATAGATCTAACAACTTCTTTTTGTGGGCTTCTCTTTACACTTTGCCTGTTTCTTGACCACTTTGCTTTGGCCTCTTGCTTCTGCTGGCTCTTGTCCTCAGCAGGGTGACCCTGTGGCCCCCTGATACCTCCTTGCAGCTCCCCTGGGCAGCTTCTGATGCCGTTCCTGCCTGCACCAGGCCAGCCCGCTCCTCCAGATGAGCTCTGGCACTGCCAGCCGACTGACTTTGGGGGGGAGGGAGGGGCGAGGGAAGGAAGGTGGAGGCCATACCTCTCCTTAATCTCTTCAGGGTCGGGTGGTTTAGTGCAGCCTTGACCAGGTCAATGTCTTCTAATAAATGCAAAACACTTGTTCCTATCCCTGGATGGCAGGAGCACTCTGGACTCCTGGAAAGAAGTGGTATCTTCGAGGGTCACTAACCAAGTCTTTTTGCAGGATGGAGGGGGCGGCTGGGTTCAGACAGGGACTTGGAACAACTACTTGACACATATTAAGGGTCTTCTATTCAGCCTGCCTCAGAGCTTGGTCTGCTTGAGTCCTCAGGCCTGTAATACCCAAGTCTAATTCCCACACCCCTAGATCCTGAATGCCTCCCAAGCCGCCTTTGAATCTCTGCATCCAGAACTCAACAGACAACCTCCACATACACACTCTTCAGAAGCCTGCTAACCTTTGTCTCTGGACTAAGGGAGGCCCGTCTCTTCCCCTCCTTTGCCTTTTTTTTTTTTTTAAACCTATTTCTTACATAGTTTCCCAAGCTTTAAGGGAAAGAACAGCTGATGAGGGAGACCCCAGGCCACTGGCCCAGAGAGCCCAGCAAACTACATAGAAGGAACACTACCCACTGGTCCACATTAAAGGGCAGAACTATGTACTGGGGATGGGGGAGGTGCAAGCATGGGAGTCAGTGGTCCTCTTGGGTTTCCTAAAGCACCTGATTTCTGCAGCCCAGAAGCTGTGAGAAAAGCATGCTTGGTTTTGTATTTGGTAAGATCTAAATGGAAGATTTCGAGAATGTTCCCGAACCCTTCTTCCTAGCTCTCCTTCATGGTGTATGGAGTGAGTCTCTCTTGCAATAAGCGCATCACCAATCCTTGACCCCCCTTGTTTATCGTCTTCCTTCCTGGCCGATTCTTCAGGGTGACATAGACTAACTTTCTGGGCTAGGAATGCTTCCAAACTGGACAGATTCACTCTTCTTTCCATTCTTGCCTTTTCTGAATGCAGATGGGGATGAAATATATGTCTGTCTGTCTATCATCTATCTATCACCATCATCATCTATATCTATCTATATCATCTAAAGCTAGCTCTGTTATCTCTTTCAATGGACAAAGAGATTGATTCTGATTCTTAAATTACAGTTCGATACAGGAATTCAGACAGCAGGCACGGTAACCTCGGTTCCCCGCGTCACAAAAACATTCTCAGTAGCGAACCAAATTTTAGAATGAGGATCCCGTGCCTGCCTCTGGCCATGCTGGGTGCCACCGGGAAGGGGGTTTGGGGAAACCTGGGTAACCTTGGGAGACCTTGGATAAGGCGGCGAGGGTCAGAGGGCGCCAACTCTTGGCTCCCAACTTTCTTGGGCCTCAATAAGCATCAAGCGTTGCAGAACATCAGGGTTGCAGAACACCAAAGAGAAAACAGGTGTTAAGTGGAGTTTGTTTGCTCTGCAACTGTTCTGAATGAACTAGCGAATATCTGCACCAAGCAGAGTGGGAAGGGTGTGGTGCCCTCAGGCCTGGGGGCGTGATCTGTGTGGCCTCACTGTGACCTGGGCCGAGTTCTATGCAAGACCTGGGTGGCCCAGGGCACTGGTGAGGAATTACTTTTGGGTGCGTTTTCTGGCGTTTGGTCAGTACACTCTCTCCACGCGTGCCCCGAGTTATTGCGAGGTTTGTGGGTGCAGAGAGGCTGCTCTTGAAGGGAAAGGGCTTTGCGCGCACTGCATCACGCGTTGTGATGCTGGAAGTAGAGGTCCGGGCCGCGAAGGGGACAAGGGCGAGATGGCCTCTGTGTCTACTGTGCTCTGCAGTGGGCTTTCCTGCAACCTGATTTCCTTTCAGCCACCCTGCTCCCAGTGCCATTCCTTTCCCAGGCTTCATTTCCCACTGTTAGGTTTCCCTCACCTATGTGTCAAGGCCAAACCACCAAGCCTAGAATCGGTTCCCTGCCCCTTGGAGTGGTAGCAGGGGACTTTCCACGGAGGTGGAATCGGAGGCGCAGTGCTCCAGGGTCCTCTCTTCCTCCCTTGTCTGTTTCTCCGCAAGCCTCTGGAAAGGCAAAATTAATTGCCCGTCTGGTAGCCAGAAAGCCTTTCTGTGTCTCTTTAACCCTTGGAAAGCAGGGCTTCCAAGGGAGTGGAAACCCCCGTACCAAGAGGAGAAGCCGCCGCTATGCCTTCCTCGTGGGCCAGATGCGCCCCGCGCGCCTGCACATCTGCTCCTTGCGCTTAAAGGTTGGCGAGCTCTTGAAACTTGGCAAGTTCAGTAGAG